AATGCCCGCCCACATAAACCACTTTTTGATAGTGGGCCCTGTTGTTAGGCAGTGTTTGTGAGTGTGTGCTGTGTGTAGTGTTTGCGTATTTGTTGTAATTGTACTTCAGTAGTCTTGTGTGCATTAGATCAAGAATATGTTGCAAGTATTGTAAATATTCCCTTTATTTCTTATTATTATCTTTATTTTATTTAAGCATTTAAACTTTTTCTTTCTCTCTTCAGATATTTTGTTTTCTTTTTGTATTACAAAATAACTTCAGTGCTGTTTTACCAATGTTTACGAATGTTTTGTGGTACTCTCATTGTCTTTTTTTTTGTCGTTTCTTTGGCCTCCTCTACTACCACATTTTGTACGAGCATTGTATTGGCTTGTATAGGTAAGTGTAAGCGCAAATTGTAGCAAATACTCATTGTAAACATGCAAATATATGTATGTATATGTCTTGGAATGGTGTAAGAAAACTTATGCCGTCGGCAAGAAAATTTTTTTCATTGACTTACACGTAACGAGATATACAATTTATTTGCGTTCGTGTGTGTGTGATTGTTTGCATTTCATTTTCGTTTTGGTTTTTATTAACAATTTTTTTCCACACTATGTTAAGCATGCAAACTGATTTTAAAGTGTTTTTTTCTTCGGATTTCAGTGCATTTTTAGTGCTTTTTGATTTTATGGAGTCAATGTGCCATTTAGCGCAATGAAAAGTTCTTGTTTTGCACGCCAAACGATCGATATTCACTTTAAAAACGGTTTTCAAATCATATTAACAGAAAAAGTCAAAGACATTTTAATTAATATAAAAATAAGCGACTAGAATATACATACGGCCGCTCCGAAGTGTGGCAAAAAACAACAAGTCGCTTGCTTAAACTCGCTAAGCGACATATTGTTACAATCTGTCAAGTATTATGTTTTCGTAAAGAGCAAATCTTACATACGTAATAAAAATAAATAATAAACTAAAAGCAGAAAATTTTGAATTATTATTTTACAACAAATTAAAAATACATTACTGTACTTATGTATTAATAAGTATAGTATAAAGTGCTTTTTAAATATACCTTCTTAATGTGTTCTTATATATTTTTGGATATATTTAAAATATTTATTTTCTACAATTTTGCATATTTTTTAAATATTAAATTTCCACGATTTTCAAATTTGTGAAATTTTTTAATTTTGACTGAAATATTAGTTGAAATTTCTAATGAAGGTTCAAAATAGATCGCTTATCCCTTTGGTAACATTTTTTTTTACAGTCTCTTATATGTTTTTCCACTTCATACCTAGTCGCTTAGACATAAAAAACAGTGTTGTTCTTTTTAGGTACAAATTCGCGACTTTAAACAAGCGTGAATGAGTTTTTCGCTACACTTTGCGGCTGGATACACTCAACATTATAAAATTTGATATAGTTATGTGATAAACTATATTGAGCACAAACAAATTGGACTCAAGATATTAATATGTGTACTCGGTCGCTCCTAAAGTCTGTTGCAAAGCCCCAAATTTTATTTTCTCCGGTCGCTCCGAGTACTAAAGTCTCGTGCTAAAGTCTCTTGCAAAGCCCCAAATTTTATTTTCTAATTTGCAAAACAATGACATTACTCTCTACAGACTAGTTATAAATTCCCTAATCATTTAAGGGACTTAAGAAAAAAGTGTTACCAGTACACTATTTCTATTTGCAACGTTTATTCATTGGAAATTTTGACAAATGTTTCAATCATCTGTCAATAGTTTACAAAATATACAAAAGTAATATACAAAAGTAGATAATAATTGGTAAAGAAAGTATTTTTAAAAAACACATTAAAGTTTTTAACTTGTTAGTTGATAACAAGTTTGTACTTATTGTGACATAAATATTATTAATTGCAATTAATTTTTTCGAAAAAGGAAATGTCAAAATATCCTATACTGTTAGCAATGCTTTTAATATGCTATTCATTTTAGTTGTAAATAGTTTAATAGTAATATTTTAGTGTATACATAACTTAGTTTGTCTTGCATTTTACATATATACATAAGAATTACGCCATTTGCGAAAACATAATCTGTCAAATGATAGTGATGCTAACGTGCAAGAGACAGTAAGAAACTTTAGCAAGGGACTTATTATTTTTTGCCGCTCTTTGGAGCTGCCGAATAAATCTAAATTATAACATACATTTTATCTTTTTCGAAGTTATTTCAACTGTTATATAATAACATAATAATATCTGACATGCCAATTTTAAGTACTATCTGTCACATTGTTTATTTATGTATAGAGGTCTTTAGCAGAAATTTAAATTTCACGCTTGTGTCATTATTGGATCTAAAACCTTTTGGTGCAAGAATATGGCCACGCGAGGGTGCTATATTGGAGGGTGTCTCCTAACATAGGGGCTTTAAAACTATTAATACAGCTTAACTAGCCATGAGCATATTCAGGAAATGAACGTAATGAGCTGAAAAACAAACAATTCCGTCTAATATAAACAAACAAACAATATAATATATTAATTTCTTGTTCAATATCTATTATTTTATAATTTATCTTAATCTTTTTCTTCATTTTAAAAATGATTAGTTATTACTGTATATGATTGCCTAATACAGAACTGAGTTCAGTCCAATTCACATCAAGGATGGTCTGTGACTACTACACATCTCTAAAAGAGATGTTGACGCAGTTCAATATTTCTCTAATCTGGGTTCCCGGTCATAGGGATATTTTCGGCGATTGCAAAGCAGATGAGCTAGCCAGACGAGATGCTTCAGGGAACCACTCGGAACACCTAAACAATCTGGGCATATCGTTGACATCATGCAAATTGATATTGAGTTCTTCCTTTGTCGAACTTTTTAACAAAAGACGACGCGACGCTGCGATATGCAGGCATCTGTATGCAATGTGGCCACAGACCAACAATAGAAAATCGAAATCTCTCTTAGAGATGTCCCGTAGAGATATCAGTCTTGTAGTAAGTTTACTAACAGGTCATTTTATTCTAGGTAATCATGCTAGGAGACTGAATCTACCTTTCAACCATTTTTGTCGCAGTTGTGGTGAGGATGAGGAAAGTGCCTCCCACTTGCTTTGTTTCTGTCCGGCACATGCGCAGCGTCGCCTTAAATTTTTGGGGCTTTCTTTTTTGAGGATCTTGACGAACTTCGAGACCTCCCTCTGTATAGCATCATAAGCTTTATTAAAGGTTCTAGATGGTTTTAGCCTATGGGTTCTCAATAATACGGTATCACAATGGGCCTATAGGCCTAAGTGGATCCTTCTGGGGTCGCCGGTACAACCTAACCTAACCTAATACAGAACTGTATATAAATATAAAATATAACAAAATTTGCAACAACAACCATGTTGTTGCGCATACTGTCGGAATTTCTTTTTATATTGATATATTAGTGATAAAAAAAATTAAATTTATATAGACATGATGGCTAGAGGTATTACTATCCCAATACAAGGAGTCCCAAAAAGTTCATATCTTCAGAAACTTCCACGGAGGGTTTCTCATGGTATGGGCTGCAATTGGGTATAATGGAAAGTTTCCTATTCATTGTAGAGCTCCTATAAAGAGAACTAGTCTTTATAAAAACTTAAAGACTTAATAAAATTCAGAAAAATTTTTTCCTTTAACAAAATAATTTTCTTCTAAATTTAAACTGATATTAATTAATAAATAACACTTGAACTTAAGAAAAAAGTACGAAGAAGCAGCATTAAAAGAGACATAGAAAATAGCTCATGACGAAAAATTAAAAATAATAGTAAATACTTGATCCAAGTGATCCTATTTATTGTTGCTATATAGAAACCAGAATATTTACTATGAAGAGCATTTCGGAGTTATTTCAATTGTTTAATCACATCCGAAATTAACAAACATTACACACAATAATTTTGTTTGCATATACATAAGGAGTATACTTATATACATAAATATTATACTACATAAAATATGTATACTTTTCAACTCGTTTTTTTTATATAATGAGCAACAGACCATTGTTTATTTTCGACAGGATAACTACCTGGCATAAAATTGAGTATATGAGTAAGAATGAGCAAGAATATACTTTAGACTGAATTTCAGTGAGTAATACCGAAGACAACTGTAGAAGAACTTAAACATTTCCAGTTGTCATATGGATTATAGCGCAAGTGGAAAGATTCACAGCTGTTTATAGAAATAACCTTTATAACAGAAATTCCATTAATTTTGTAATAATAAAATTTCTTTTTATATTTGTATATATTATGTATATCTGTGTGCAATAATAACAGTTGTATCACGCAAAGTATTTCACCGTAAACCTTAATACTTAAAATGAAACCTGAGACGTTTTAGTTATAAAGTATATTCTTTGTACAGAAACTAGCACATAACTATAAATAGTTTTTTATAACAGATATATGGTGTGCACGTATATATATAATAAAAAATACGGTATACTCTCGATAATCTGGATAATTATATGTTATGGCATGTTTAATTTAACGAAAAATGTTCCGATTACCGAGAGATTCTTATTTTTAAGTATCCAAAAAATTGTGTGGGATGAAATAATTTATATATATATTAGTTCTTAACAAATTCTCTAAAATCAAGGTAATTGTATTTACATTAAACAAAGAACTTGTTTTTTATTTCTCCATATATATCAATTTTTCGACTTTTATATTTTATTAAAGTGACTAATAAAGTACCACCAAAATAGGTTTAAGATTCAAAATTGGAAATAACAAGTTTGGTCCTTATAGACATGGTTGGTTGGTTCGTTGCAGTGGCAGGCGATTAGGCAACTTCGCCGTTTTGCTACCATATTCCTCATAAAAACCCCTAGTATAAAGGAGTAGAATCTAAATCCATCCCGTCAAATTTAGATAATTTAA